GAACACTTCATTTATATTTGATTTCAGAACTTGCTATATTTTTTCATGCTATATTGAATGATCTGTTGGAGTAAATATGATTTTTTTGTTTTTTAAAATAGCTTCATAAGATATAGCTACTGTTGATGCAAAAGGTCTGAAGTAAAAATTGAGTTTTTTCATAAAAGAGCATAAAAACTGATTATTTCTTTATGACTTATCAGTATATTTTCATATTTTATTTCCCTCTGCTATTTGCTATAGTAGCAGACTACTTATTGTAGTTGCAGACTACAAAATGTCACCTTTAGCTCAAATAGATCGTTAAGGTTACATACACTAACAGTAGCAATATGCTAAAATTGTTTATGTGAAAACAATCTTATCAGGAGAGAAAAAAACTTTTTCATTCTATTGTATATAATGAAGAGAAGAATAGTTGGGGTGATCAGTCAAATAAGAAGGCAAAAATAAATGATAATATTTATTTTGACATTTTCCGACGTTTCGACCTGAAGTTCAGGCCTTCTATCTGGACTAAGAAAAGAACCAGATAACAAGGTATGAGAAACATAAGTAGTGTAGGTAAAAAAAAAAAATTAAAGTAAAATACAGTTGTTAGAATAATGACAATAGTACCGTCAATAATCAATCAATAATACCGTTGGAGATGACGCCACTATACATCTCTTCTCTCCACCCCCTCCCTGGCTAACATGCTCATTGCTCCGATTTACACCTTTGGAGTCAGGTTTCTTTTTCTTTTTCTCTTTCTTATTTCAGCCTTCTCAGTTCTTTCCTCCTTCCTTTCATCCCTTTTCTTTGTTTTGACTCTTTATTATATTATACGTTGTCTGAACGTTTTGATACTTTACTATATCTCAATTTTCTATCTAACTATTCTATTCGCAATATCTTAATTTTACTATTTATTTCCATTTCTTATATAACTTAATATTTTTCTGTTTTACATTTTATTCTAAGATTCCCATTTTAATACTTATGTCACCTTTTTTGATTATGTTTACTTCATCATTCCACACTTTGTACCGGTTATTATCATTTATCTCTTAGTTCTTACTATTGTCATTATTCTAACAACTGCATTTTACTTTAATTTTTTTTTTTTTTTTACATACACTACTTATGTTTCTCATACCTTGTTATCTGGTTCTTTTCTTAGCCCTGAACTTCCGGTCGAAACGTCGGCAAATGTCAAAATAAATATTATCATTTATTTTTGCCTTCTATTTGACTGATCACCCCAACTATTCTTCTCTTCATTATTCACAACATTCAACCATTTATCCTCAATTATTGTATATAATATTTTTATTTTTTATTGTTAGTGCTGCATACTAATTTTCCTACTGAAATTCAAGATTTGCAGCCTCCAAAATTAAAAATGAGAAGCAGAGAGAGACTTTTTAAAAAATTAAGTTTGAGGTGTGGTTATTAAATAAAAAGATTGATGCTGTAAAACACTTAACTTTGATTTCAGACATATTTACTTATTATCACCTTCAATATACAAACCTCTATCCCTACAACACTGCATGCAAATGTTCCATGGTGTGAAACAGTGCTGAAAGATTTGCACTGTCGCAAGTTCTTCTGTCTCGTAAGAGGTCGTTAAAAAAAAAAAGGTTTCTAGGTCAACACTTCTACAAGGATGTGATTTGACCGAAGTCACACTCAGTTGAGTGTGGCAGTTGCCAGGTATTAATTATTTAATATAGGCCTCTTATTAATTAATTCATTAAGAACTACCACTCCGTAGAAGCTGAGTTTGCTCTAAGAGGGTCTCTGGACCTCAGGATCGATCGATAGCTGATATAACAGAATAAATAACAATACCTGGCACGGCCAGACTCTAACTTGGGAATAGGAGAATAGGGTGATTTAAATAAAAATTTTAGGTCATGTATGGTATGATACGAGTATGGGAAACTAATAAAATAATATACTGCTAAAATAATGAATAATGGTCTTGCATAATAATAGTGATATTTGCTAAAACAGTTATACTGATAAATAATTAGAGTAACAACAAATATGATAATTTACGGTAAATAAAGATATGTAGACGCAAATATTAGATAAGTATAAAATAATGACCTGACATGACAGAAAATGGAAATATAAAACAAGATAAAATAAAATTTATATTCTCTTCTAAAATGAAACATATGGAAACTGAGCTTACTCAGTACAATGAAGTATGAGGAAATACATAAAATGACCAGATAAAAATGGGAAGAGAGAGGAACAAGGGACTAAATAAAATAACAGATACTTACCCTAAGCAAAGTGAACGCATAAGCGTCAACTCCTCAGCCAAAAAATTTATTTTTATTTTAAAATTTTGTTTGAAACATTTTATAATATGGTTTATTTTTGGAATAAAAAAAATAATAAAAAGATGAAAATATACAGCTTTATTTAAATAATCAGTAAAAAATATTCTGTTAAGCATTAGTCAATAAAAATAGGAAGTAAATTAAATTTTAAGTTTAAATTAATAAAGAAGAATTTATTAAGAGTAATACTCTTAATTTTAAATAAAAATGTTCCTTTAAAACAAAAATAAATGAACATAGTTAATTACAGTCTATCTTAAAAATTATAAATAGTTCAACAAGCACTTAACATAAATATATTTTAAATTTGATAAGAGCATTCGGAATAGATGATGTGAAGGAATAATTAATATTTGAAAGAATCTCTAAAGAAGGAGGAACAGAAAGAAAGCAGTTGAGTTGTGGAAATATAAATATTGATAAGTAGGGTTCAAGTAATTAAGGAATAGATAAAGGAATAAAAGGTAAGCAGATCCAGATTATAGAGAGGTTTATTATTAGAATTAAAGTAAAATAGAAGTATTTCGTTGAAAGAGAAATAAAAACAATTTCAACTTGTTATAATATTCAAATATATGTGTTTGAATGAAGATTTCAATCAGCTACTTTGATCTTATATCAAATTCACCAGGAAGATCTCTATGAAATATAGATAAAAGATAAGATAGATTTTGTACACAAATATAATACAAAGTCGTGATAACGATTCTACTATTAGCTCAGTTTTCATTTTAGACACATTCAAAATGATAAATGGGACTGAATTAAATTGATTTCAAAAGGAACAAACGAAAACATTTTCAAAAGTTATAAAAAACAAAATAAGAAACAAAGGTATAATTTAAGACAAGAATTTATGAAAACTTGAAAAATACAGCTATATCAATTATGCATTACTTTCATTCAGCCTGGTTATGTCATAATTAAGAAAAATGTTTTTAGTAATATGACAATTGCATTTTTGTTTTGCTATAAAAAAAAAAAAAAATGACTTTAAAATATTTTAATTGTTATGTGAAAATCATTAAGATGTTATTTTTTTTAAGTACCCCTCTCAATTGATGGTATTATTTATTTTCATTTTCAAAGCTGCCATTATTTCTTTACAAAGTCTTTAATTTAAAAACACAAAAGTCTAAGGTATTTATTTTGTAAAGGATTAAAATCTTTTTCTCGAACCAATATAACGATCTAATAAAAAAATAATATATACCAATAATCAATAAAAATCATTTTAAAACATTATTTTGGTTAAATACTGAGTGAAGGTACATAATATGTTTGACAAAATATCTAAAAAATAATTATTCCCTCCAAAAAAAAAAAAAATAAAAAATAAAAATAAGAAGATTCGGAAAATATGAGTAGGAGAAAAAACACAATTATAATTAGAAAACATTTATGACAGTCAGAACAAATAAAATCTATTGTGTAAATGTACATACTAAACAATATGCATATTTAAACTTTATTATAACTACACAGCCTATGTAAAAACAGAATCTTTACTCAAATTTTTAGATACAAATGTATTTTTTTTTTAAATAATGGAAATATAATATAAATAAAGTACACATTTATTATTATTTGAAATTTAAGAAAAATTTATTTTATTGCTATTAAAATTAATAAAAATTAAAACCTAACACTTAAAAACATATAAAATGTTTTATGCATTGTATTTTATGTATGTACAGTATTTTTTACTAAATTAAAGATTGATTAATTGAAATTTACTACCAATATGCTGCATTTATGAGCAATCGTAAAGGAATATTCTGCACGGCTCCAACATTTTTAAAAAAGTGAATATTATGATAATATTGCACACAAATATTAATGATCATAATTTAAAATAAAAAAAGTAACAGTGTTAAAAACACATTTTTAAGATGTTTTCTTTTTAAATGTTAGGGATTGTCTAATTATGTCCAAATGTCCAAAATAAACACACAACAGTCTATGGAAAATATTGATAAACAGAAGTCATTAAAAAATGTTTTATTTCATAAGCTTTATTCAGAAATTGGTTAGCTTTATTAATGGTTTATTCATTGAATATTCTATTATGCTTGTGTAAAATGAAGATATAATAGAACTTTACACAAACAATATATTGTATATATACATTGAGGTATAATACACTTTTTAAAGGCATACTTTCTTCAAAGAGAACAAGTGAGAATAATAATTAATACACTTTCTAAATAATGAAAGTTCATTCTGACATGCTAGGGGTGCATTTCTAAAATAATTGAAATGAAAACTTGTAATAGTTTAGTTATTTTGATAAAATACTTAAAGGATAAGTATTTATATTGAAAAAAAAATGTGATTTTTTTTTTAAATACTAGTAAATTATTAATTAGTAAATTTGTGTGAAAATACATAGAGGTTCAACATTGATTTACTCTGATAAGTCGACCTTGAAGAAGGTATATTCTCAATGCCTTACCTAACACGAAAATGAGTCATTTATTGAAAATCCCGATGTATTGGTGTAATTTCTAGGTGTGATGATTCATAAAACTTCGCTAAACGATGTGTAATTGAAGGGTCAGGTACCCCGCGAGAGAATTATTGATTCGACCGCCCCCCCCCCACTTAGCAACAACTGTAATCTTAACCTAATGCCTTCCTACAATTACAGCAGTCTGCAGCCCGTATCAGTCCTCTGACAGAATGTTGATAAGGAATTTCTTTATCCAAATATCATCTCTGCTCTACAGGTATCTGTGAAATAATTTCTGAAATGTGAAATATGGTTAATTCAACATACCTAGGGCTTTGTATGGTTGATAACCAACCTACAGACCCTATTTCAATATGCATAGCCACTATGTACATCCTTTTTGGAATTGTCTATACACTGTTTGGTAAGTGGATTTATATATTTCATAGCTTCTTCTTCTGGCCACCAATAGATTAAATAATTGTGTGTTAAAAATATTAAATTTTGTAGGTTATAGATGTTTCAAAGCTGTGATGTTTTTAACTGGATTTATATTTGCATCTGTTATTGTTTATCTGATATGTATACAAGAAAAACGGTTTCCGACTTATGCCAATGCAGGTACTTATTTTTATATTTGATTTGTCACGCTTATAACTATCATGACATACTTAGTCACAATATTAACAACATCTTAAATCCTTTATTAAACATGTCACATTTATTCTTGTTATGTTTAATTTAAACATCTTGTTGCAATAAATCAGAACCGGTTTTAGGCTGTTGCTACTCCACCTACTTCCTTTCAAATAAGATTTCTTTACTCCAATTGTTTTGATTGTTAATACAGATTCTCGCTCAAAGAAGTTACTTTATTCTTCCATCACTACTTATAATTACTTTTGTACAAATTTATTAATATCTGTTCCATATTTAGCCTTAATAGTGAAGTCATTCGTTAGCTATTATGCAATTGAAACTATCAAACTTAAAATTCTTTTATGTATGTAGAATTTTAACTGATAATTTTCACAGAAATATTATAAATTCATTTGTTGATTTCCTTATAGATTACCCTTTGTTTGTATTAAGTTAAATATAGAGTAATTGCACACCTTCAAACTTCCAGAAATGATTTTTTTTTAATATATATTTTAAATAATTAATATGCTGCTTTACTATCCAACCAAAGATTTCCATATTGATGTTTTGTTTTGTCATTTCTATTTTTGTTCGTTGACCTCTTTCTGAGTTTATTTAATAAATACAATTCTTATTCATTTGGTTTTGTTTTAATTCAAATGTTAACTAGCAAGCATATTTCTGGTTTATTATCAATATTTTAAAATAATTAGATATCGAACTGTTTGTTTTAGAATTAGTAATTGAGTGTGTTTTGATGTAAAAGTTCAAAATAATTATTAGCAATAATTATTATTTTGTTATAATTTAAATTAAAACAGCTATTTTTGTTGTCCTAAAAACTTAAACAATAATCTGATATACATAATAGTAAATCAAGTATTCACTTTTTGGTTTTATTATTCTCATAATAAATATTTAACATTTTTTTGTTTTTAGAAAACAAGTTTTTCCTTGTTATTGTTTAATCAGTTGCTCAAGATAATGTTATGTTTCTATTGTAATTGTATTGGATGACAGTATATTATGGTTCAATGTATTTTAATGGATGGAATTTTACAATCCTATGATACTTATTCATTTGATATTTATAATATTAAAAAATATATACATATATGCTTAGAAGTAATTTTCTGTAAATAAGTTGATAATGATTGGCGTTAATCGAAAGTAGTTTTATTATAAGAGACGAGTGAACAGATTCATTGGCCAAAGAAGCCTACATCATTTAATAGAGTTGACTCACTTAATTATAAAGACTGGGGAAAATCTACCAAAGCATGACCCTTGCACAACTGCATTCCAAAAATAAGAATACAATACCAGAAGATGGGTGAACTAAACATTATTTTATACATTTTTACCTTCATGACTGATGAACAAATTCCACTAACATTCCATCTCATCCTGTTCGAATGTAACATACATGGATACAATAAAAAAAAAGAAAAAAAGAAACTTTATTATAATTTTTAGTGTCATTTTCATAATAGAAATCTTACTTTCTATTATGCAGATATAAAAGTATAATCATGTCTAGATTTTAATGTTTCATTTAAATATTTATATTGTGTTTTAAATGAGTTTATTATGTTATAACCTAGGGATAGCAATCAGTGCTGGTCTGCTGTTTGGCCTTATAACGATGCTGGTACAATATTTTGGTCTATTCATGACTGGCTTCCACACTGGTCTTGCGCTGGCTATAGCTGGCCTCGTCGCAGCCGATCAGCTTAATTCACCACCTTCGACATTGACCTCAGTGGCATCATTACTCGGAGTTGGAACGTTATTTGCTGTGCTCAACCTTTATTGGCAGAAAGGTAAATATTACGTAAAAATAATAATTATAGCCTTCCATAATTACAAGTAATAATTTATTATTTAGAAAGTTATTTTATAAATTATTCTGCAGTTTGAAGAGATATTATCCACTCATACCACATTATGGTCTTATACTTAGTTTAATTTCTTTTTCTTCTGTTTACTACTTTTTTTTTTAAGTGGAGAAATCTTTAAGTCATGTGGAAAACACAACTAATAAATGACTAAAATACCTTTGGGCGTGTAAAAATGCTGTAGAGAAGGCATGAGGGCTCAAATCATGAATAGTTTACTGGCTGTTTGTCACAGCGGTTAGACTTGTGTTCTTATATTCAACAGTTGTATGATGGCATAGGACAAGAGCTGGTCACCGCCAAATACAACTAGAAAAACTACTTAGATTAGCCTGTCTAATGATAACAGGTGTAATGAAAATCACTTCTACTGCAGCCATAGAAGTAATGTTAGGTTTGTAGTTGTAGTCCCAAGCCCCTTTGTAGTTCGAAATAGAAATGCATACCTTGAAAACTTTTTATATAGGCTACAAAAAAGAAATTTATGTTTGAAGATAAATACCCATGAGGGACATTGGAAAATATTTCAAAAAATTCTGGAAGATAGGATACTTGCAGTGCTCTCTGATACTCAGATCAAAGAATTTCTAACAAAGAAATATAATTTTAACATAGACAGTTCAGGGGAACGTAAACCCATTAATGGTATTAATTGTTACTCTAATGGGTCACTAATGACATGGAGCTCTGGCACTGGTTTCTAGAGAAAGGGTGAACCAGAGGAAAGAATGTCAGTATCACTTGGTAAATATCCAACGGTATTCCAATCTGAAATACTGGCGATAACTCACTGTGTCTCAAAGTTTTTATGCGATAGGAAAGAAAATTTTCATCCATACCGACCGCCATGCAGCTATACGAGCTAGGCTATTCGATCTAGATTCAATAAGGTAAACATTGAATGGGTGCCAGGTCACTCTGGAATATATGGAAATGAGATGGCGTTTGAATTAGCTATATTAGGCTCACAAACGACTCCCGTAACTCCTGAACCCATTTATGGAATTGTCTATGTTTAATAAATAATAGAATTGGACAGATTTATGGTGCTGAAGCCTAAAAATACTGGTGCTTGAAAAAACAGACTCATTCTAGATTGTTCCTGGATGAAATCTGTGCAAAGAGGAGCAATCTACTAATTGACTTGAGCAGGAGCTCATCTAAGAAAATTACAGCGGTATATTAAATTACGCTCTAATAGGATTAACATTTATAGAGGCATACAATAGACCTTCATGGCCGAGGTGTATTTTTGCTCCCTCCCCCCCCCCCCCAAAAAAATGGATTTTTGGATGCAGAAGTATCTGAAAAAGGTTGTGCAAAAGAGAACAAAATGTATTATTCATATTCCATATAAAATACCACAAAGTTCGAATTGAAAATATTTTTATTTTAATTCCTTATAAATTTCTGGTTGCATGGTTCCTTATAGCGCTTTAGCAAATTAGCACATTTGTACAATAACAAATAGGTTGTTCCCTCAAGATTAATGCAAACTGTTTAGCAATATTACTCGTTAAAAATTTCTCATAAATTTTGTGAATATCATTATTTTATCAAATAATTTTTTTATGCATAAAACTTATGCACAGCAACATACCATGTTATGATAAGGTGACCAGGCAGTCCCGATTTTTTAAAATTTGTCCTGCATCCCACAGCGTTTTCAACAAGCTAGAGAATGGCAAGAGAATATACAAATTTCAGTAGCTACATAGCTATTCCTCCAGAATATGAGTTTTATATTATTTTTGTTGATTTTATAATGTTAAACTAAAAAAAAAAAAAAATAATAATTGTTAAGAAACTGATTATCGAGAACTGCTCAGCTAAATTTAGATTGTTGATCTGTTGTTGGAATTCGACCACCATTGTTTGGACTTAATGATAATAATACAGAAATCATCTTTTTAATGAGTTATTATTATTTTTAAAAATGTATTAATAAGGAAAGGGTTAAATCTTGAGCAAATTAACTTCATTTACTACTTTGATTACAGAAATGTTGTTACCTTCGATAAGTTTTATAGCATTTTGAAAAAGAGCTGCTTGATGGTGTACAAACTGCTGGAACAAAACATCTAAATTTTAAAAATTGTGTTATTGAAGTCATAAATTAGACATCAAATTATGTCATCTCAAAAATACGCCTTTAGAACTAAATTCTCAATCTTATTTCAGATTGTTTGGACTTAATGAATTAAATTTTTAAATGTTAAAATCTGGTAATTTTTTAGATTATGAAGATAGATAAAATTGTGTTATTGAAGTCATAAATTAGACATCAAATTATGCCATCTCAAAAATACGCCTTTAGAACTAAATTGTTTATTGAACTGATTCATTATAAATCAATCATAAACTGATACTAACATTTATCACCAGATTTATATCAATAGATTTAGACAGATATAATCAATAAAATATTTATTTATTTATTTGGTTATATTTTAGGTGCCGTGTGCAACTTTATAGGTTAGAGGCACCATCTTGATTGTTGATTTACATTTCAATATGTCTTATGTATGTAAAATTTTGGATGTGTATGTTGTTAGTATTTTTGTTTAAAGAACGTGTTGTTACAACTGAATAGGTTATTTCTAATTTACGTTGTGAATTCGTTTATGAGGATGATATTGTTTAAATATGTCTGTAGTAATTGTGTTTTTTCAAAAATTGGAATAGGTGTTTCTGATTTCCAGGTTGTATGGCTTGTCGATATCCTAACAGCAGATATGAGGTCCTTGATGAATCTAAGCTCGGACAATTTTCCAAGATGTGAAACATTGTTAAAGCTGTATCGCAGTTGGGACATCTTGGTGGCGAACTTCCGTCGAGTAGATGACCATGCGTGAGCCTGGTGTGCCCTATTCTGAGGCGTGTGATGATAGTCTGCTCCCGTCGGTTTCCTTGAATCTCTGGAAGTGGATTCATGTCATGAAACATTCTTTTCATTTTGTTTGTGATAGGAACCTTTGCCCAACAATATCGCCAGGCCTCTCTACACTGGTTCAAAATTGCGTTATTGTAATCGTATAGCGCTATTTTATTGTCTGGTGCTGGAAGGTTGGTGGATGCTTCTTTTGCGGCGCTATCAGCCAGTTCATTGCCTGGTATTCCTATGTGACTGGGGACCCACAAAAATGTTATTGTTTTTATTGTAATTTGAATAATTTGTGTAATTTGGAAGACAATGGGGTTGTTGCATGATTGAAAGTTTTCTATTAGTTTTAGGGCTGAGTAGGAATCACTAATAATTAAAATGTGGTCATTGTTAATTTCGTTGATTATTATATCTAACGCTAAATATATGGCAAAGAGTTCGGAGGATAGGACTGAATAAATGGAGGGTAGAGAGTAGCGGATGGTCTCCGTAGGTAGAACAACGGAACATCCGACATGTTCTGATTTTTTCGACCCATCGGTATAAATGCATGTGTACTTTTCGTAGTTATTTATATGAGCTAAGAAGAGTTGTTTTAGTGCTACTGGTGGGCTATTTAACTTTTTTTGTTTTTTAATGAAAAATCGAAAAGTGTTCTACTATTTGTCCAAGGAGGTAAAGGGTTTACGTTTGATTTGAACAGCTTTGGAAGTGTGTACGTATTGATTAGTGGCGGGTAGTTGGCAAGGCGAGTTGGTAATTTATAGGTCAAGAAGTCAAAGAAGTCTGTAGTTACTTTTAAGCGTCCTAAAAACTTTAACAAAAGAAAGTGTCTGCGTAGTTCTAGCGGCCATTCATCAGCCTCCCAAAGTAGACTGTTAATAGGGCTAGTCCTGAAGGCTCCGGTTGCTCGACGGATCATTGAATGGTGTACTGGATCTAGCTTGTTTAATATTTTCTTTGAGGCATCCCCGTATACTTCGCATCCGTAGTCAATAATCGGCCTTATTAGACATCTGTATAACCTCAACAAGGAAGTTCTATCGCAGCCGTAAGTAGTACCGGAAAGTGATTTTATTAAATTGCACTTCTTTGACAATTTGGACAGTAGTGTTTCGATTTGTAGTTTCCACGTCAGTCTTGAGTCCAACATTACTCCTAGATGTCGAATTGAATCGCGTTTGTTCAAAGGTTGATTTCCAATATGTGCTGTAAGTGGTTGGGTACATCTACGAATTCGACAAAAGTGGATAGCAGTGGATTTAGAAAGACTAAACCTGAAGCCACAACTAGCGGCCCATGTTTCAAGGCTGTTGAGGGACTCTTGTATAACATATTGCCCAAAGTTTACATCCGTAGAGCTGTAATAAATCAGGACGTCGTCAGCGTATAGTGCAACATTCACAGGTTTTGGTATGAACGATTTGATATCGTTAATGGCAATGTTGAATAGGGTTGGGCTTAGAACAGATCCTTGCGGAACACCATTGTGTAGTTCGAATTTGTTTGAAAAAGTCGAGCCAGCACGAACGTTGAAATTCCGATTATTGAGAAAGTTTTGTATAAAAAACAGAATATTGCCCGAGAATCCCCAATCCTGAAGGGATTTTAGAATTTTGTTTCTCCAGCATGAGTCAAATGCACTTTCCAGGTCTAAGAAAACTGCGAAAACATGCTGATTTCTAGTAAACAAAGATTTTATAAAGGAATTAAATTTAAAAAGATTGTGCATTGTTGATTTAGTATAACGGAATCCGCATTGTTCGCTGTCTAGTAGATGCCTTGTCTCTAATTCCCATAAAAGGCGGCGGTTAATTATTTTTTCGGTCACTTTGCAGAGAACTGACGTAAGAGAGATGGGCCTATAATTTTGTACGAGTTTTGGATCTTTATTGGACTTCAGTATAGGGATTACTGTTGCCGATGACCAACTTTTAGGAAAGTCTCTATTTATCCACATATTGTTGAGAAGCGTCAACAACAGGTCAGTTACTCTTGTTGGTAAGCGCTTTATAAATTCAATGTGAATCTGATCTGGACCTGGTGATTTGGAACGAGATGAACTAATACTTTGGTTTAGTTCATCTAATGTAAAGGGTAAATTGTAGGGTTCATTATCAAGGGTAAGATAAGGAGGGAACTGAAGTTCATGAAGTGCCGAAGGATTTTTTGATCCTTAAATCAATAAAATAAATAATAATGAAAAACTGATATGGCTACCATTTATTATTTGTTTCGTATCTAATTAAATCTTTATCGATGTTTGACAGATGCTTTAAAATAGATTAAGGATATAATTTAAACTAGAATTTTTTTTTTATTCCATTCTTTATTACCAGATCGACTTACTGATGCATAACTACTTTAATCTACAAATAAAATTGTTAACATTTTGGGGCATAGTTTAATTTAAAATTGGGGGTATAGTCTCATATAAAAAACACTCCTAAAGAAACATATTGTTTATAATTGCAGATAAATTAAAATTTAATGAAATAAATGGATAATAATATAATAAATACAGATTAAAATAATTAAATAAATTATATATAATCAAATTCAGGTTAGAAAGTTAGGCGCAAGTCTGGAAATTGGAAATAAGAAAAAAAAATGTATATCTAAAAATGAAAAACTTGAAAAAAAAAAATATTTTAATATTAATATTTAAATTGGACATGGTACCTCCTCTTGAATTTAATAATATGTACGTTTAATAATTACATTTATGTAATAAGTTATTGAATCAATTATTAATGATTAGTTTCATTTGAATCACTAATGATTCTCTTAACAATTCAATGGCTTTTCTAGATTCCTTTGGCCACTCATCTTATTATTACTGATGACAAAGATGTTCAATTTAGTTAAATTGTTTTATTTTTTTAATTATCATTCTTTCTGTACTTTCCTCATGACAAAACATATGAATTATCATTAAGTCTTAAAATTTCTATTAATCTACAGTGTTTACTAAAAATTTCCCATTTATTGTAAATAAAAATGTAATAATGATAATAATATTATATACTTGTAAAATACTTCCGCATTTAAATCTGTAACTAATTGAATTCATTTTCGTTATCTATCAACCCACTCCATTTGATGCACTAAGTATATGCAAATAAAACCCTGTGTATTAAATCAGCTGTTTAATTAATGGATCTCTTGATTTTGAGATTTATGTTTTTGTGATAAAAGTTTATTGAACAAGTAAAAATAAATAAATATGGCACCTTTAGAGGTCATTCACCTATTGCGGATGACGTAATGCTATTGAGGAATAATTTACCCATTGTTGAGAGGAAGTTGTAATCTTCCCTAAACGCTTATGCTACGTCCTTGAAATGTACATTAAATAGCTTTTTCATTTGCTTCTATTGTTATTGTGATATTTTTTTAAGTTTATAATTAAATAATTTTAATCTTAGTCCCTCTCAATTATTCTGTTTTATTTTTAGAAAAATATATATAATGATTATTATTAATAGTACTTGAGACAATACTTTATCTCAAGACTCTTATTTTCACTTAACTTAATATTTTCAATTAACATTTTGGCCGTAATCAAGGAAAATCCTTTATGCAAAACAACCTTATTATAAATAATAACTTTAATTTTTCTATTAATATCATTAAAATGTTCTTAAAAGATAAGATCTTCTACTTTCATTCTTGCCTTCTCACTACCGAAGGTAGAGAAGCTTTGTGCTGATTTGAGAAGATTAGTGCGAGAAGTAAAAAAAAATGTTCTCAGAATTGAAAATTTTCACTTGCATTTTACGTTTTAAACATCAAGGATCAAATTTGGTTCAGTGTCTGTCTGTAGTCAAATCGATGTAACTGACATATCATCTACTATTATTTATCCGATTTTCATAAAATTTGTCCGACTGGACCCGAAATGGACAAATGCTACTCTGAGTACTGGAGTAACAGGTATTTTACTCAAATACTGACTTTTTTTGAGTACCAAAAAATTTAATTACAACTATAGTTGATGTCAAACGATTAACTAAAGTAGTGATTGAATGTCTAATATTGGTACAATTTGAGTAAAACACTTGATGCTCGGTACTTAGAGTAACATTTGCCCTTCTCTGATTTTCAGCCATTGCTTTCCAATGGATTTTTTGTTCCATCCATTTTAAAACAAGTATATACCGCTATATTAGTGCAAAAAGTCAGATATAATAATTTTTAATTTTTATTCTATTTGTGCTAAAGGAGACATTTTATAGTCTGCAACTGATATTATGCAAAATAGTTATATCTATTTTCACTATGTACTAGGATTTTTTAAAATCAGGAATCATCAAATACGCAACCTACAAATGTGGAACTCTTCCGCTGTATTCGCTGATGAACAAAACTCTTGGATATCAAACCTCCAAATGTTAAGGAATTACTGTCTTTCCGAAAACGGATTCTTTCTGAAATTTTATTCTCATAAGAAAAATTATATACCAAGAAATATAGATATTGTTTAGCCTATGAAAACAGTGAGGAAGCTATACTGATCTTACTTGCCAGACTTTTTTTTTACTTTAATAACAATTGAATTAATATTTTTTCTTTTCCATTTCTTTATTTAATTAAACCTAATTTACATATACCCTGTCCAATAACAATGACATCACAGTCATGAATTTCTTTTAATATAAAAAAAAAATTAAATGTATATGTAAACGAGCATCTAAATATCAAACTGGCATTTGTCCACAGATGGCTCTAGTTGTTATTATAGTTATTGTTAAACAGCATTATTGGTGCCATTTTGTTTCTTTGATAGGTGGCAAAGATTTTCAACTCACAACAATACCAGTTTTATATAACTGAATCGTTTTAATAGGTTTGAATATGTTGAGTTTTTTACCTACAAACTGATGATTATCTGTTACTATTTAAACAACTGCTGCAGAATAGCATTGAAGCTTATGGTGAACATATGAAATTCTGGTTTCAAATTTACGCACCTAGTATTTATGGGCGTGTATAATTTATAAATATCAATTGATTGAGTAGGAATTGTTTGGGGACTCACTCAGAGACAAAATTATACACAAAAGCCTTATTTTAATGTCTACCGATGTTTTTCGTAAATTTTTACAACTTTTGGTAGAAGTTTTGAATAGCTGACATTTGTAGCTCTAATGAAGGCCTAAAATAAAGACCGAAACATCAGCACAAAATAAAATAAGTCTTATTGAATATTTAATAGTTGACCGTTGCATTATAAAGGAAGGAGATGGTCCGGGGTTGCCGTCATAAATAGGCTAAATAGTGGTAAAACTATTTTATTGAGAGCCGACGTTTCGACCCGACTTTGCAGGTCTTCATCAGGGCTAGAACGGATAAGATACAAAAAGATAGAGATGAAGACCTGCAAAGTCGGGTCGAAACGTCGGCTTTCAATAAAATAGTTTTACCACTATTTAGCCTATTTATGACCGCAACCCCGGACTATCTCCTTCCTTTAAAATAAGTCTTAATAGATACAAAAAGATAGAGATGAAGCCCTGATGATAGAGATGATAGACCTGATGAAGACCTGCAAAGTCGGGTTGAAACATCGGCTTTCAATAAAATAGTTTTACCACTATTTAGCCTATTTATGACCGCAACCCCGGACCATCTCCTTCCTTTAAAATAAGTCTTATTTGTGTTTATTTTCATCTTTGACCACACTTGAAAACTGACTTCAACGTATGCAAATCTATGCTGGGTAGAAGGGGGAGGGAGAAGATAATTTTGAAAACAGTAATTAAGACTTCTTTATTATTTAAGGTGATTTATCCACTTATATCATTTACTATTTTATAATTATTATTTTTTTGCAGGATTGACTATATTCGGAACGTGCGTCTATGGCGGAGGATTGGTTACTTTTTCGGTCGACTACCTGAGTGAGTTATTGAGGACGGTGGAGTGGCTGTGGAAGAGGCAAGGACCTCCGTGCTACCCGGTGCTCGCCCTGTGGCCCGCAGTGCTGTGCCTTGGTTTGGCCGTCCAGATCTCGCTCACCCCCCACCACCATCATCACAATGGTCAGTTATTTAAAAAAAATAAATATTTTTAATTTTCTCTATTATATAAAAAAGTTTTTAGTGACTTTCATATTTTAATTTATTTTTGTAATAAGAGAGTAGGAGGTAACAGAAGATCTAGTAGTGCTGCTCTCCTATAGTGATTATTTTACAAATTATACAGCTGTTTATTTAATTGCATATGTGTTGAGATATTGTTACCTTATACTCACCTTTCTCAGAAGTGTCTGAAAAGGCAATTATCTGCATAGATGATGCATTCTGGCTAACAATATAACGAGGCAGCCAAAAATTTCTCAAGCTTGGAAATTCTTCAAGGAAAACCTTTGTAAATAACCTAATAGAAGTTTAATTTTAAATAATTTGTTTTGGCAGGAATTGGCGAATAGCCTTCCGCTTTTATATCGGGGAACTAGGTTATTTACACTTGTGATTATTAAAACAAAACCCTAGCACTGGATATAGACTTTTTGAGGGTGTTTAATTGTTGTTAAGAATTCGGAAATTTAATACCTTTTGTGACACTGAGTGACAAGAAACAATAAGAATATATATATATAATGTGGGACTTAGTAAACACACTTTGAATGAATTGACTCACCTGGTTTGTTATTCATCAATCTTGAGGCCTATAGGACAACTAAATAAATAAATGACTTTTCACTCCTGTCTAACAAAACAATTTATTTTACATCTGTAATAAGTGAATCTATTAAAGTCTTATAACTGTAGACTTGATATTCTTGGTCTTCAATGTTCTGCCTCTCCCATCTCAGATAACGTCCTCTCGCCTCCGTGTCTCTGCCTCAAGTGCCCTCTCTCCTCTTCTCGGCGTCCTTCTGCAGCTGTTGCTCCGTCCTTTTTCCAGCGTCCTTCTTCATTGATTGTTTATCGATATGAGAATTTTCAATGAATAATTTGTCCACTGCTCAATTGAGTGCAATTCACAGTGCAACCTCACATTCCTATATATTCCTTCTCATTCCCTCTCACAAAGAAGTAAATATAGAGGGCTATCTGCTACACCTTCCACAATAAAGACACACTAGAGGGCAACTCATCATCTCAATCAACCTTAAGCAGCCACAAACTCTGTAATATGCATTTAACTTAAAAGATTACAGGATTGATATATTCATTTATATAGACAATTTTGGCAATGAAGGATAGAATACCTCACTTAGTAAAAATAAGCTCACTTTCTTGTATTGGATATGGTCAAGTAAGTGATCTCCTGAAATGATCAAGTTTGGGATCCCAAAACCTTGACGGTCGAGGAATCTTCATCCATGCACAACCGAACTTTTGACTACCCTCGGGTATTACAGAAAGTAGTTTTTCTGAATTGCTTAACTCATTACACAGCTCCAGAGCCTCATCACTATTGCGAGCACCATTGATTACGTTGTCTACATAAATTTGGTCATAACACTGGGCAGCTTTAGGAAAATTATGGTCTTCTTCCCGAAATAACTGTACAATGGCTCTCTGATCAATGAAGGGTGAACACTTCAACCCAAATGACAAGGTAACCAACTCATACTCCTGGATCGGCTGTGAAGATTCACTTCTCCGAAAAAAATGTAATAAAGTTTGATTCGTTTCGGCAATGCAGATACACCTAAACATAATTTTTATATCTCATGTTAAGGCCACAGGAAAGCATCTAAAATGGTCTATAAGTTCCGCAATGTCAGTTTGGAGCTGCGGACCGGTCATAAGTAAATCATTTCAGTGAGTTTCACCATCTTCTCCGAACAGTTAAATATGACTTTAAGTTTTGCCATGGAAGAATCTTTAATGATTCCATGATGGGTCATGACGTATGGATAGGTTCTTGGCGAGGAATACGTCCAGGTTCTTGGACATGATCCAGTCTTATATATTCATCCATCTGTACAGCATAGGCAGACTTATACTCCATATCTCTCATAAATCCATTTTCCACATTTATAAATCTGCGTAGAGCTATCTCTCCAGTGGAATCAAGTTTAATCGACTGGTTAAAATAAAACTGAACTGAAACAACAAATCTATCCTGGATATCACGAGTGCATATATTTATAAAGTGATCTTCGCAAAATGCATCTTTCGGATTCGGCGGAATCGAAACTGTGACTTCCTCAGTCTCTCTCAAAATCGCTTTAATTCCTCCTGTTAGGAAAGGCTGGTCTGCGTGTAAAGAAGGTGCAGGGCTTTCCGAGAGGGTGTCCCCAAATAATACCCATCCTAATGAGGTACGAATAGCTTTCGGTTGGCCCTTTAGAAATAAAACAGGGTCATTTAAAACCTCTCCGTACATCTCAGCGTCCTACCTGAATTTATAAACAAATTGTATCCAAGGCAGTAACCAGAAGTACCTTGGAGTTGGTGGTAACATGGCACGAAGCTGCACAAGAATTGTTTGTTACTTTAGACTGTGATGGCTCAGTGTTTGCAGCCTTATGTAACACTATATGGTGACTCTTTTTGCCACAAACTTGGCAACAACCTTTACTTTGGCAAAAAGTATAAATCAGATTTCTTTAGTAGGTCATAATGACCAAAAACATCAGCATTCATAAACTGAGGGCAGTTTATAATTTTATAGCTTGATTTAACGACTGGCTATTCTAACTTAAATTTCTGATTATCCGGTCTATTGCTGGTTAATAATGTTTCTTGCTGAACTGTAGGCTGGGAAATATTGGAGATAAAGGGCTCAGAACACATTTCTATGACTCTAAGTTGTGACCTAACGAATTTGCGAAATTCTTCAAAGCTAGAAACTGTCTCTTCCTCGAGACTGTTCTCAAACATTCTTCTTGTATTAGGATCTACAATGTTCATTCCAATGTGCAGTAAAACAAAATCAACGAGGTTATTGAGTTAAGATTTTTTAAGGCATTATAATTATCAACAGAAAATGTCTTCTTTTTTATTTTTTATTTTTTATTTTATGTGTTTTTTTCAAATACCGCAACGTGGCACTCGGGTACAATAGCATTCACACAAAATAGGCGTGCTTATACACTAAAAAAAAAAAAAAATGAATCTATTGCAATTATCTACTAAGTGAAGAAAACATGCTTCAATTACTCAAAGAAGCAGGAGTAGTACTTAAATCAGAAAAATATTCAAGAGAACACGTAAGTGAAGTTGTATTATCGACAAGGAGTCTGCCCTTGTTGGAAATGCTGTAAGACAGAACACAAAGTAAATACTATTGTTCTATCTGAATAGTTTGAAAACTATCCTTTATCGCTGATATTCAAAAGAAGAAATAAACACGAGTATGGAACACACTGTACCATGATAAATTCTTACCTGAGCTGTTTTGTGTGGCATAGAAGGCACAAGAAAGACCTCTTCTGAATTAAAATGGAAAACATAAGAGTAAAATAGATGTTTTTACCTTTTATTGTTTATATTAATTTCAAATAAATACTTTCAATGTTCAATTTTATTTGTTATTGGTGAAAAACATTCTTATTTATTTCTTTATTTGAAAATGAGATTATAGCTACGTAATGGTAGTTATGAAAAAGTATGTAAACAGTGAAAAAAAAATCATACATGTGTTTTTACTGAAAAGTGATTTGCAGTAGGGAAGTAAAAAAAGATCTTATAATTATAACCTATTTTTGTTAATAGTGATAAAATTTAAATTTTCTTGTGATTGTTGTAGCAAAACATGGTGGGCGAGGTGCGAGAACCAGGGAGCAAAGGGCTGAGCTGCGGCAGAATAAATACAGATACCTTTATCAAGTGAGGACAGCGCATGGAGACATAATAAGCCAGGTCAGTTCTTATTTTATTTAAAGTATCAATAATAGTAATTTATTTCATGTTATATATTAATTTTAAAAAATGTTTAGCTCTTTTATTTTTAAATTTTCCCTTTCTTACCATATTGTTTTTCTGTTATGGTGTATCTTAGTTTAGTATTCCTCGAACTTTCTTAATCTACAGACTCCTTTTTGTCCTCCGATTCCGATTAGCATTTAAGATGAAATACCATCTGAGCCAAAATATAGGTATTTCCAAAATTCATTGTTTGTATCAAATATGGAAATCTAGGCCAGAGGTATCCAAACTATGCAAGTAATGTCGAGGCAGGAGGATCATTCTTGGGTGACCTCTGACTTTGATTCCAAATTTAAAAAAAAATCGGTCCAGTAGTCTCAGAGAAAAACAACGGACGGATACATTTTTTTTATTCGATTTTCGAATTCTACCTATCATGGAATATAAAACCTCAAATTTTGAGGTGAGGTTAAATATTTGAATTTTTTGGAAGGTTACAATGGTTCATTATTGAAAAATAGTTAACCAATAACAGTGATTATCAACAATTATTAAAGGTTTTTTTATTTTACATATAATTACTATCCATAGTTGTTATTGTTGATAGTTACTGAATTAAAATTAAATAGTCCTTAATATCAGATAGGTATTAAACTCATTTGAATTTCCTCACAGCTTAAATATTCAACTTTAAAAATTACTTCTTCTGAACTATCTTTAGTTTTCATTATTTGGAACAATTAACCTTTTATAATGGAGAAAAAAAGGAAACATTTTTTTTCCATCAACCTTAGCCATCCATATACCTAAAGGATGCAGCCTTGCACCACCCATAGTGGAAGTATCATGATACGTTTCTCAGGTTTGCCAAGAAGTAAATAATAACCTGACCCTGTAGAGAAGCTAACGTAGTCCTTTATGTACACATTGCACCAGATTTTTCACTTTTTAATATTGTTAGAAATTATTAAAGTTTTATCCTTTGAATAGTAGTATAGTTAGTTATATACAAATATATATTTTATATGTTTTACAGAATTATGTTCAAGCAATCCAGAACAAAGTTGTAGGGCCTGGTGAAACTTCAACATTGGAATCCGATGCGACTCATCTTACTATGCTTCCCGACGGACAGACAGATTTTTCCCGAGGAAACTATTACCGATAACGGAACGCTGATACTCCGCTGTAATACAGCGGCCAAAGTTGTATTTGTCATCTTTCTTTAATAGATGGAAACAGTTCACTGAAAAGATGCTGCTCTTCATGCATGAACTTATTATTATAATTTATTTTTCATTTATTTAATTGTGTTCCATCTTATACTTAATGGAAAGCACGTTATTTAGTTATTATTGTTTTGCCCCAAACATATTTCAAGAGAGTTTTTCTTTAAAGTCAGCTGATTTTATGTTTAAATTATTATATTTAATGTTATTATTTATTTTTTTTATGAGCTGTTGCCGTTGCCCATAAAGATTTAAGGAAATAGAAGGATACGTTTTTGGAAGTATAATCATGTTGAAAATTTTCTAACATTGCACTTTGAAGGAATATGATTGTTGATCGATTTGATTTACAGGGTGTTAACGAAAAATATTTGTAGTGCAAGTTGTGAATTTTGAAGATATAGTTCAACATTAGATATTTTTTAATGTCTCCTCTCTTTAAAATATTTATCATATATATTTATGTGATGATATGTATATTACATAGTTGTTTCATAGTTATAAAATTGATATTTCTGTATATTTTTGAAGTTTTTAATCACAAATATTTTAAGTAATGTTTTATTAAATAAAAGCAAACTCATATTGGGTTTTTAAAAGATTTAATTATTGGATTATTATTCCTCGAGTGATAAATAAGTAATTATTTTCGAGTCAATTTTTAAATTTAAGATTAAGAATGTTTTAGCTTCTAAGTAATGCACAAAGCAGAAAGTTTGTTTTATTTATTTTTGTTTTTGTTTATTTTTAAAATTAATTGATGTTTATGTCTAGTTACGAAGAACTATTGTTACCAGATGTGGCCAGCATAGTCATTTTTGTTTTTTATTTATAGATTTATTTTTTGTTGTAACTCAGTTTGAAAGGTTTAGTTTATTGTAATAATTGTATTACATTTGTTGATTAAATTTTTATTATTAAATTTGTTATCAAGTTTTAATCAGTATGTCTTTAAATATTTAAGATCGATGATTGGATTCAGTAACAGCTGATATTGTGCTGGGCTTATTGCACTTAATTAACTTTTTTTTAATAAAAAAAAATAATTTTACAATTAAAAAGTATTAATTTTAATTTATACTTTAACTGTTAATTTTATTTAATTTATTAATTTGAATCTGTTAGTTTTATTTAAAATGTTATGTTTAGAGCCCAAACATTTTTATATTTAGCATTTTGTCCATCTATGGCAAACAGTTCAGCAGACAGGTTAATCTTTTTTCTAATCAAATCAACCATTTTTTTTCAAGTCTAATTGGTCTTTTAATATTATAAGATACATTAAAATACAAATAATAATTTTATAAGTTTTAATTATCACGTTTTTTAAATATAAAAAACTTGTATACCTAAACCAACTTATATACTTAAAACAATTTTTTTTATAAAATTATAATTAACTTTTCTCTCATTTTTTAACAACATAATTTATTTTTATTATTTGAATAAAATAAAAATGAACTTTGCAAAGTAAAATGATATAGTTATGAGCTTGCTTTAATTCCAAGTTATACTTTTTAAGATGGATCTAATTTACGGTCATTTTTATAAGAACAAAATTTATATAAGTAAATTATCAGTTTATTGCAAAACATTAAAAAAAACAATTGTTATCATTTTAAATAATCTTATATAATTTATTTATAATTAGATTTCTAAAAACTTCAATTTGGTTAGGATTAAAGGTTAATTTTTCTGACAAATTGTTTAAATAGACTGGGAATGCTATATGCTAGGGCAAGTCTCATTATTATTTTATTTATTTAATTATTTTCCTAAGCACTATATTTTTGTTGCTCGGTTTTATTTTATATTTGTTTCTTATTCATTAGTCATTTCTGAAGTATTTTAGATGTAATATTTAAATATTTTATTTGACTACTTTTTGTGACCACATTATTATTTATATGCTTTCCATTCACCTAATTTTTAAAGTTTTCTCTGATAAGTAAATAATCAGTTTAAGTGAAACAATTTCTTTTTTTATTATTATTAATATTAAAATCAGTATTTTATTATTTATGTGACTTTTTTCTCGCACACTTGGGCTGTGATGAGATGGAGTGTAAGATTAAGGCAGAAAGAGCTACACTCTTTAACAGATTTACCGATACATTTGGAAATGTATAGACTATATTTGAAATCACCGGCCATTATAATTTATAGGTTTTTTATATTGGTAGATTTAAATGATTATGTTTCCATGTCAAAAGAGCTGCCTTGAATGTATGGATTGTAGGATTTATCCATTCATCTTACTATCGGCTTAAATTGGTCGGAAACCATCCATTTTGGATCTTGTAAATAGTTATTTATGTAAATTAGTATTTATATTATTTATTGATAGATTAAATAATGAAGGATCACAAATTTTAGCAATTCACAATTTCCTTTTTATTTTTGAGCTTGGTGGTTGCCAAAGAATAATTTAGCTTTTTAAATATATCCTTTAGATCAGGTGTTCCCAACCATGTGGCTGCCTTAGTTACTGGTTGCCATGGTGATCCTGTATCACCGTGGCAACCAGTGACATCATTAAGTGGTGTTGTTTTCATGAAGTGTTTGATCATTTTTATTTATATATTTAATAAGTAATTAGTTCAAAATATAATTATGTTCCACTGAAAATAGTCATTATTGATATCACAGCTTTTTAACAATATTTTCAGTCAATCTTCATCATTTTTTTTTTTATTTCGTTTTTTGAACACTGAATTACAGTGTTGGTAACATGTCATTCAACTAATTTTATACTCATGTCTTATTTTATTTTTTGACTTTTTAAATTAAAATGTGTCAAATCAATTATATTATCGCCGTATTCTCCAAATTATAAAGCATTGACCAATGAATGTAACTGCAAAAATTACATTAACTTTAGCATTTATTCTTTGTAGTTAACAAAAGTACTATATTCTGTATAAACTGGTGAATCTGGGCTGCATCCCTATTTTCAAAACTTGCTTAATATCACAATTTAATAATTTCACAATAATTTTTATTGCTTATCTTTCTCAAATGTCAAAATGTTAAGAAAAATTTTTAGTTTTTTGACATTAGCAGAAAGACGTGATATAAAAATTATTGAGAAGTTATTAAACTATGATATATTTTTTATGAGTAAATAAACAATACTTTTTTATATGTTAAAATTATTCTTTTTGTTATTGTTAACAATATCCAACAAGAAAAACTGAAAAAATCAAAATGGTGTCCACTGCTTGATTAATAACATATAAATGTGTCCTTAAAGGTTGGGGACTCCTGTTTTAGATCATACTTGATCCTACTAATCTGTATTATTGTTTTTTATTACCAAAGAGTTTTTTAATTATAAATTTTGTTATGTTGTCATAAGAGATAACAATCTTTGTAGTTCTGGTCATACATGGAAGATTTTATTTTTGTTTGTTGTGAAAAACTTTTATTTCTTTAAATTTTGAATATTTTATTATTAATGATTTAAGAGTACACCTTAGTTTATAATTATGTCATAAAATATAAATACAGTCGACTTCACTTGATTGAAACATCATCGTGGTATGGAATCGAAATGGAATAAATTATGTAAATTTTCAATTCTTTATCAAAAAAACAGAACTTCATTCAAACTGAATTATTTAGGTTTTACGGTTGACCAAAAATTGAGTAATCGAATGCATAAACATCTTTAGATTTCTACTCAGTAATAGATATTTATCTATTATTCATTCTTTCCTACCTGATTTACTTTAGAAATGAATCTGAACAAATGTGATTAAAAATCTTGTTTATTGGGACAAAATTGTCTGATCTAAGTTATCCCAACAAAGTAGTCGACTGTATTTGTACCTTATAAGAACAAGTTCCTAAACTCAGTGCTGATTCCATCGGTGGAATCCATCACCGACAGACAGTGATTTATGCTGACTTTAGGAATGGTCTGCCGATTGACCCCGAAAAGTGCTGACCCATGGGTGATTCAATTGATAAATAAAGAAACGTACTGAATTCCATTGATAAGTTTAGAAATCGTCTTAAGAATTTCGAATGGCATCAATCAACTCTGTGGTGAGTGTAGGAACTTGCCCTAACTTCTAAAATTACTTTATTCGTTAAACCTGTTGAAACATTCGTATTATAGTTGAGGTTTCATCACTATTTCAAAAATAAGTTGACTATTATTCTATATGGACTGTTTTATGTTGTCTTATTATTTATATTGTATGTTAAAAATAAAAATTATAAATAATGCTTATTTTTGAGTTTATTTTTATAAATTTATTTTATTATATATTTTAATGGGAAGCTTCGAGACACCATTGCTGTGTATTAGGTTGTGAGTAGTGTTATATTTTAGTTCATTTTGTGATTGTAATCAGTAAGTTAAATAAATTTCTTATATATTTTTTTTTACTTATTCTTTCTTTATTTTTTTGAACCAGCCAAAAAATGAATTTCTAATGCTCAAAAATGGTTAATTTCATAACAGTAAGTTATTATCTGCATTCAACCAAAATTTAATTTTTTTAAAAGTAAAAATGAAATGTGATAAAACAATGTAATAGAAAGTTAATACCAAGTGATCCTGTTATAGTATAATTTCATTGATGATTATATAATACAATTGATATGTTTTTTTTTATCATAAAATAGTTTTAGATCGAACAGAAATGTTTCGCCTGCTGTAATTTTTCATGATATATGTGTTGTGAAAATGTTCCCTCTCTCTGTGTCGTTACGACAAAAGTTAGAGCCTAAATCTGGAACTATGGTGCCAATTAAAATTATATTGCCGATTTTTATTGTCAAAACATTGAAGACATTTATAGAGAAAGTAGTTTATATAAAAAATTTAAAAGATGCTACTTCTTAATTGTATTAGCCATGAGTGTACCCAATATATATTTTGTTATTGAAAGAAATATTAAAATGTGCAAGCTTAAAGCAATGTACATTGCGTAATGTTTTTGTTGTGTTTCTTTTTTTAAAACTAATGGACTTAGATCATATTAATGATTAATAATATATCTGTTGTCTAATAAAAGTGTGTTTTTATTTTTCCTTGAATTTTATTTCTAAAACAAAATAAAAAAGTAGAACAGCTGATTTTGAAGTTGAGTCATTTCAAAATTTCGAACGTATTTATGATAGGTTCACAACTTAAAGCAGTTACATAATATTTTGTCGTGAGCTATCATTTCATTATTTAGAATGAATTTTAATTATATGACGTAGGAAAAAAACTGAGATTACCAACATAGTAAGCTGTACTTCTTGAACTATTTAATGAAGGGCTTTAAATCCAAGGATATGATGGCTCAATATTCAGGTAAAGTATAAAAATCAGCGATTAAAGCAAATTGATCTGACTGACCCATTTTAAGAATGTCGCTAGTCTCGATCCTCACTATCTAGAAATATTTTAAAAGTATGAAAAAAACACACAGTATGAAAAAAAAATTATGTTTTGTTTTGAGTCGCGAGGCAATCCTGCTTTATGATCTGTCTGTTTTTTTGTTTTTTTCAGATCTAGATCTCACTTTGCTGAAGTGTAAAAAATAATCATTTTCATCCAAAAGCCTTGGAAGCATTTTTTTACTCCACTCTCTAGTCTATTCATTTTAAAATCCAGATAAGTCAATTTTAAACAAACTTTGTATATGCATACCCTCAACTGTTTACTATTTCGAAACCGGTTGGAAAATGGGCCTCAAATTTTGACAGCGAAATAAGAGCAATTTTATTGGCACTGCAAGCCTTGTCACACTTAGATGCCAAAAATCTCATATTGTTTGTGGATTCAGAGGTGGCTATTCTCGCTGTGTCACAGCCAAATGACTCTTTTGCTCAGGATATTATGAAGTGCCAAATAAGAACTGCTTCAGCGAGCAACAGAGGTATTGTTTCAGTGGATACCAAGTCACTTTGGTCTCTATGAAAACGAAATGATTGATAAACTCGCCAAGGAGGGATCCACATTGAACCAGCCAGAAAATGAAATATCGTATCAGAGAACCAAAAAAGAAATAAATAAGGCCAGTGAAGCTCTATTACTGGATTCCATAAAGAGCTATATTGCGGCAAAACCGGACAGAAATTTGTTTAATGAAACGGAATGAGTTCCCATGAACCAGCCGTGGAAGGAAGCTGTGGCAGAGTTCCGGATGATAACAGGCCACGACTTCCTTAGGAAGCACCTGCATAGAATAGGAATTGCAGACTCTCCACATTGCAATCTATGTAATTAGTGAGCACATATGGACGCAGTGCATTTAGCTGTATGCTAGCGCTTGTTGAACATAAGAGATACCATGTCGTCCAAATTGGAATGGGACTGGGCTGCAAGATCTCTGATGGCAGAAGCCGTTAAAGAGAGGCATAGTTAAAAAAAAAAAAGCTCTGTATCAATGTCTGAAAAAGTGTCTGTGCCTATTAAAGGCTGAATCCTCACCCTCCCCCCTGTCTTACAGCCACTAGAAAATCCTTAATCTTAGGTAGTAAAATCACAATCACCAATTTACTTTCTCTTAATAGTTACATAGCAAACATCAAATACATTTTTACTGTAAATAAATAAACATTCTCAAGAAAAGTAAACAAGTTAAATTAAATCTTACAAACCGGTAATGTACCCTTACTTCCTATAAAATTGTATTTTTTCAAAATAATGTATCTATCGTCATGTTGATGATAATACATGCTCACATTAGTAACTTGTTAAAACAACTAAAATAATTGCTAATGTGAAATTTTGAATCAGTTAGTTTTGATTTACCTCTTCAAATGCTAGAAAACATTGTCATCCATAAAATAATAGAAAAATTCATCTACAGATTCAAGTAGAATTAATTGTACACCAGTTTAAAATCTACAATATGAACATGTAAATATATTCTAGTATGCTCAGGATCCTTGTAATTAGTCCAAGGTAGTTTTGTATTATAGTGGTATAGTCCTACAGATTGAAAGAAAACCATTGATAAAAAAATAAATCAATAATTTATTTATTATAACTAATAAAAATAATTATGTAGAATTTTAGACCTTCTCAACAGGCATCATGAAATAATAAAATTATATTATAAAAAGTAAGGTTGGTTGATTATTGTATAGTAAAGGTGTGAAACCTCTTGGTCATCAACGCCATTAATTAAAATTATATATTATTGTTTCTTCTGGTTGTGAGTAATAGAAATAGAATAAAATTAAGAAGACGTAAAATACACAAAAAGTCAATTCATACAAAAGCACTAAAAATACTAAATAAAAAGTAAGGTATTTAGACTTTGATATCTTATTGGAAAACAAAAACAGTTATCATAAGATGAACTGAAAAAGAATTACAAAAAAATTATGGTATAATAAAATCAATAATGGCCTTTAAATAAATAATAGTAAAAAGAAAACAAGAAATGTTGCCAAAAAATCAAAGATAACAATTAATAAAGACTAAACCAAAACAATATGTTTCTAAAAATATAGATAATAATACAAAATTAAATAATATGAAAAATAATCAAATTGATGAACGACATTTGGAAAATAAACATATTAACCAATATTTCAAAAAATGCCAGGATTCTCATAGGAAATTAAAAAATAAATAAATACAATATATGATCACTGTATAATATAATTAGAAGTTTATGAATATAATAAAATGCATTATTATCAAGACAAACACTTCTTTGATTTCTCTTTAAGACTATCAGCAGAGATGCGCCTCGTCGATCAAGTGCTTTCAGTTTTCCCAGTCACTGCTTCATTTCTGTGAAGTTAATCTCAATCCTCTGGATATATTCCTGATAGGAGATTCTTGGCTGACCACCTGGTCTTCTTAGATGTAGGTGTTGTTTCCAGTGTTCTATGTTCTCTCACTTCAATCGACAAACATGTCCAAACCATTTCAACTTTCTGTTTTCCATGATTGTTTTCAATGGAGGCACTTCTGATTGCTGTCTAATTCTATTGTTTCTGACACAGTCTTGTCTTTCCCTCTACTCTACACAAGAATTTCATCTCAGGGCGTGATCCAGTTGATAGGACTGTCATGATGACCCAGCTCTCTCCACCATATACAGGACTGGTAGGTTTGCTGTTTTTTGGTCATTCTTACCAGACGTATCTATGATGGTGTCCAGGTAGTTGAACTCATTTACTACCTCTAGGGTCTTTCTGATACATAACATTTCATCATTGTGAGATAACTAAGACATTGTTTTTCGAGTCGTTGATGGACATTCTTACCTATAGCAGTTCTGCTTCCCATTCCACTAGTGCTTGCAACATTTCTTTTGATTCTGCAATTAGGACTATATCATTTGCATACAGGAGACATTTTACAAGAACTGTGAGCATCTTCCATTTTCTTATTGCAGTCCATGCCATTTTGCGGTTGAAAATTTTATGTATTTCATCTATCAAAACCATGAATAGAAGAGGTCTAGTCCTCCTGTCTGACACCTCTGTCAAGAGAGAATGGTTTGGATTCTTTGACATTAATCCTAA